CCCCACAGAGGCCGCAGTGGAGTGGTCCAGCAACACAACGGTGTCCTTCCCACTCACGGTGCACACACACACAATGACAGTCTCACATGCTCATGTCAGAGAGGCACTGCGGCATTCCCTAAAATGTACACTAAGTCACACACCTACAGAGAGGAAAAGAAAAACACAAAAGAAAAGAACAACAACAACAACAGGATACCAACCTCACACAAAGCACTCACAATACAATAATCACAGCTGCCACTCCCATCAGAGAAAAACATTCACCCACACCAGCACACCCCAAAAAAAAAAAAAAAACAGACCCAATTACGTGAAGCCGAAATGGATCAGTCTCAGTCCATCTCCCCGCAGGTTGCAGTCACTCAAACAAGCCAAACAACAAATAACACAACACACACCACAAGGGCAGAAATATGTTTGTGGTAATGCTGTGAGTGACACCACCGAGAGAGAAGGTGAGAACAAAGAAATGTGTTTTCATTACGTGGGCGGTGCGAGTAGCAACCCAAACACACAAAGGAACACACAACAGAGGGGTACACTCAAACACCCATAACCCACCAAACTCTATTATACCAAAATAAAAATGTAAAAAAAGAGTGACTGCATGAGGCAGACACAATAATAGAGCAAAGAAAAAAAGAAATTCATGTGTTGATGTGGCTGCGATGCCTAGACACAGTCCAATCCACCCCAAGGTGAACAACGGAAAATCATTGTGTAATGAACGTGCCGCACCCATATCTTTATTCTTGGTGTCCCTGCAGCAGTTTGTATATAATGAAAAAAAGAATCATTCCATAAAAATGAACACACAAGATACACAATGTGTATCAGAAACGCAAAAGAGAAACACACAGCTTCACATAACGTGCAATGAAATTATAATGAAACACACACACGCAAAGGAAAAACAACATAATGAAAACAAAAAGAAAGCCGTGTTCACCATGTGAATATGTTCAGGAGGCAAGCAACACAATTCCCTGCAGTGTGTGTGTGTGTCTTTCGTACAGGGTGAGCAATGGCAATGATGCACACATGATGACAGTCCACACACACACAGAGAAGGAGGGTTGGTGGTGTGCGTGTTTGTTTGTGTCTTGAACCTCCTGCCATTCTTCACATTTCAGTCACAGCAATTACAACACATCGGGATTGTATACCATTCCCATGGGTAAAAGCAATAGAGTTATTAATATCACGGAACACACACACATCACCAGGAGGACACAGTAAATGGTGGCAAAACAGAACCCAGACAATGCCAACAAAGAAAGAGGAGACTCCCATCACATAATAACGGTTTGTCATGTGATGAGTGCCATAGGGAGTCCAATAGATGTGTTCACCAAAAAATGCAAACAAGAGATTTATCGCATTGGAAAAAAAAAAACATTAAAATTCAATAAAAAAGAACAGTGCCCTTACAATGCATCCATATCCACTCAAACAAAGGTTAACTGTGCAACTGTGCCATGGGAACACTGATCAGCACATGAGAGAGCAACCCAAAACACACAAGAGAACAAGAAGCAAAATGGAAGTGTGCGCCAATGCAGGACTGCTGCTACCATCCTTCTTTTTCTTGGTCTTTTCTGCAGCCGCTCGTTTCGCTTCGTCTTCCTTGGCCGCCCTTTCTGCGACTTTCCTCGCCTTTTCCTCCTCTTTTCTGGCCTTTTCTGCAGCTTTTTTCGCTTCCTCCTCTTTTCTGGCCTTTTCATCTGCAACTCTTTTCGCCTCCTCCTCTTTTCTGGCCTTTTCTTCTGCGGCTTTTTTCGCTTCCTCCTCTTTTCTGGCCCTTTCTTCTGCAGCTATCCTGGCCTCGACTGCGGCTCTCTCCGCCTCTTCCCTCCTCCTTGCCTCTTCAATCTTTCTCTGCTTCGCTTTCTCCGTACTCTCATTAAACCCCTTGATGAACTGTGCCCTTGACCCCGTTTCTGAGTCCCCTGTATGGGTGGATGTGGTCTCTGGCTTCAAAACCCCCCTCACATCCTTCTCTTTCGCAACTTCCTTCTTCTCTACGTTTGGCATCAACATTTCGCCATACGTTTCCCGACATTCGTCTTTCAAGAACCCCAACAGCTCTTCCAAATCTTTACCCCAGTTCACCCCGGCATTCACCCTGCAAACTTGCGTTCCGGCACTGGCGTTACTGATATCATCCAAGGCGGTAACGATCCTATTGTATGTCGTAACGACCTTTGCCACCCCTTCCCTCGTTGTATCATTCATGCAAACCTTGCTTGAGTTTTTTTTCGCAATGTCCAAAAACCAGTCGACGACGGCTCTCTTCCACTTCTCCAACTCAAATTCCAAACCCTGACGGTGTGTCCCGCAAAAATACCGACTGACACGCGCATTCCTAACTAACTCCGACACATTATTGACAGTCTCATTGAATTCGCCAACCGTTTTATTAATATTATCCATAAATTCTTTGACTCTTGGGTCCCCGCACTCTATCGGCTGCGGGTCCGGCAATTCCACACCCACAGCCCTAGAAAGCAGACCCAACCAACGGTATTTCTCCTCTTTCAGACTCTCCACTTTGGGTTTCTTGCTCTTCTTAACACCATAAAGAAAATGAACAGTGGTGTTCACGACGTCTGCAATACGGGTGATACTTTCGTTACACACATTCACGTCATACCGCCATGTTAGCAGACAATCATCTGCCGCCTCCAGCGGTTTCCCCGCCTGTTTTAATAACGGCTCGTATATTGTTGAGCTGTATTCCGTGAGATGATCCAGGTCCTTTATAACCACTCCATCCATGCAATTCACCTCCTCCTCCTTTACGGGAACCGCTGTCTCACTCCCCGCATACGCCGCACACACACACCACTGCAAAAGTACCAACAGGTACACCACACGGCGCAGTTGGATGAACATCGTTGACATGATTGTCACCGTGGGTTGTTTGGATCTGTGGTAACAAGGAAGAAGAAGAAAAGGAGAAAAGTAGACGCACATTTAACACACAAGGCAGTCGGCACACAACACAGAAAGAGAATACACATCACAACAGCAATCAAACACAACCCAATGAGGGGAACAACAGTAAACTACCCACACAATAAAACACACCCAGAGTTACACAGATATTGAAATAACACCTCGAATTTAGAAGAAGTGGAAAACAAATGGTAACAAAACAATATTAAATAAACGTCTCTGCACACACACTCCAATATCTTACTCGGTATTCATACACAAAGTGTCTGTGTTCTCATTATAACAAATTCATTACCAGGCAGTTTGAACACCAAAATACACCAAAAACACAGTGTATGCCTGGCAACATACAAAAACAACACCACAAATCATTAACAAAACAAAGAGACTGTACAATAATCAACACACTTCCAAACAGAAAAAGAAAAGAAACCAATGCATCACCATAATATTTATACCAACACCACAATTGGAATCTAAAACCCACTCATCCACAACCATAACAAAAATGACTGCATACATCACTGTAATACCATGCCACTCTTTACAAACAGAGGCAACACACAATTACTCTTTCACACACATATTACCTCTTTATTTATCCCTATTACTATTATTTTATTTCTCCCACGGAATGCCGATTCGCCTCCTCTTCTCCCACAAGAATATCAGCAAATTAAAAAAAATAAAAACATCCAAACACTCACATGTCCTTTACTCCATGATGTGCATTAGGATGGTAATATCAAACATATCCCCTTCCACCCACCCCAAAAGGACCCCACACCACATCACTACGTTTTTCTCTTTGTTCTTCGTGTCTTTATGGATATTACTCCAATGGTACGGCTATCAGCCGTCTACCGTAGAGCACCTAGTTACTGGCTTACGAGTGGCTCTGAAGAGGAAGATCCCTTTATTTTATGGGATCCTCAAGCTCTTGTAATATGATTTTTCGTTGCAGCCCTTTTCCCATACGAGAGAACCAGTCTAC